AATGATATCTATGAAAAATTCCAGTCAGGATTCAGACCGCATCATAGTACAGAAACTGCGCTAGTTAAAATTACAAATGATCTACTCTTAGCTTCGGATCAAGGCTGTATCTCAATACTAGTCCTACTTGATCTTAGCGCCGCGTTCGACACTATAGATCATAAAATACTCTTGGATCGACTACAAAACTACACTGGTGTTCAGGGACAGGCATTAAGCTGGTTTAGATCGTACTTATCTGACCGTTATCATTTTGTCTCTTTACACGGGGGAAAATCAAAGTTAACGTCAGTAGACTACGGAGTACCGCAAGGATCGGTGTTAGGCCCTCTGCTATTCTCAATATATATGCTGCCACTTGGTAATATTATAAGAAAACATGGAATTAATTTCCACTGTTATGCTGACGACACTCAATTATATATTTCATCACGACCAGATGAAAACATTACCTCATCTAAATTGACAGAATGTCTCAAAGATATAAAATGCTGGATGACGCGTAATTTCCTGCTATTAAATTCAGATAAAACGGAGGTATTACTTATTGGTCCAAAAAACTACACACAAAACCTCTTACAATACGACTTTAATATAGAAGGATGTCCTGTTACTTTTTCCACTACAGTAAAAGACCTGGGTGTTATACTAGACCGCAACTTGTCTTTCGAAAATCATATTTCATCTGTTACAAGAACAGCCTTTTTCCACCTTAGAAACATTGCTAAATTACGTAACATGCTATCTGTTTCTGATGCAGAAAAGTTAGTTCATGCATTCATGACCTCGAGACTAGATTACTGTAATGCTTTATTAGCTGGTTGTCCTGCATCCTCAATAAACAAGCTACAGTTAGTGCAAAATGCAGCCGCTAGAGTTCTTACTAGGTCAAGAAAATATGATCATATAACACCGATTCTATCATCTCTGCACTGGTTACCTATTAAGTTCCGTATCAATTACAAAGTACTACTACTGACCTATAAAGCCCTTAATGGTTTAGCTCCTATGTACTTAACGGACCTTCTTTCGCCCTACAATCCACCGCGTTCTCTAAGATCACTAAATTCAAGGCTTCTGGTCATTCCTAGGATATCGAAGTCCACGAAAGGAGGGAGGGCATTCTCGCATTTAGCTCCAAAACTCTGGAATAGCCTTCCCGATACGGTCCGATGCTCTGACTCGCTGACACACTTTAAAACTAGACTAAAGACGTGTCTCTTTAATCAAGCATTCACATAATGCTTACCTTTTAGTCCTCTGCTATGCCATACGGAACCGTTTGCCACTGAAACTGCTTAACGCACCAGTGGGGCTCGACAGCCTTATAGACAAACGGGTCGGTCCGTATGGTTGCGGTTGGGTTGCGGAGAGTTTGGGTTGCGGAGAGTTGTGAGATTATGGTTTTCTAACACCTACTCCCGTGTAATGGAAATCATTATGAACATCAGCTATGCTAATTATTTCCCATCTGCCTTTCTGCTGTTATCTCGGGACGCTTGTCCCGAGAAAAATGGCGTTCGTAGGCTCCAGTTTTGTATCCTGCCTCTCACGGGGATTTCGGATGCCCCAACGCCTGTGATGAGAAGACCAACGCCTGTGAAGAGACGACTCAACGCCTGTGAAGAGACGACTCAACGCCTGCGAAGAGACGACTCAACGCCGGCGATATGTTATCCCCTTAATATTACATGATTAACTAAATGTATTTTTTCCAGGTACTTTCTGATATGCACTTACTGTAAAGCTTCTTTGAAACCCTATGATTGTTAGCCAGAGGAGAACTGGCCCCTGACTAGCCTGGGTTCTCCCAAGGTTTTTTTCTCCATCCAATCTGATGGAGTTTTGGTTCCTTGCCACTGTCGCCTTGCTTTTGGCTTGCTTAGTTGGGGATATTTAATATTCAACAATATTATTGAACTGTGTTGTACTACTTTCATGTTATCACTGTGAAGCTGCTTTGATGCAATCTGTATTGTGAAAAGCGCTATATAAATAAATGTGACTTGACTTGACTTGACTCAAATACAAGCCGGTGCAGTTCGACGATTTGGGAAAATAAAAGCCCGGGCTATTATTTGAAGTTTTACGGTATATATATACATTTGACTCCTTGGTCGGCTGTTTGGGGGCAAGGCAGTTGGTACTGATGCTAATATTTGTTAGCTCGCTGTAGACTGCAGTGTTGTTGTTGCAACATGCGCTGTCTTGACGTGATGATGACGTACCGCACCGTTCCCCGGATATACATTTTTTTTCCATTTAGTTTTACCCTGCTTGATCAGCAGATGGTGCTGCCAGCCTGCCACCATAGACTGTATGTCTGCCCCATATACATACACACACACATATAATACACTAAATTATTTATATACTACGCAAATCATGCAGCAGTGCCATCTATCTTTATTTCGCGATCCATTTTTTTTCGACCTCGATGCGTTTCGTCACGTTTTGTATCGCGATATTTTGTCAAACGATATTTCGTCCCATCCCTACAACACATGATGTAGTCAGCCGGATCCGGGCCGTATCCAGATCAGATGGTGGACCTGCACCTAGACACGACCACAACGCATGATGTAGTCAGCCGGATCCGGGCCGTATCCAGATCAGATGGTGGACCTGCACCTAGACACGACCACAACATATGATGTAGTCAGCCGGATCCGGGACGTATCCAGATCAGATGGAGGACCTGCACCTAGACACGACCACAACGCATGATGTAGTCAGCCGGATCCGGGCCGTATCCAGACCAGATGGAGGACCTGCGCCTAGACACGACCACAACGCATGATGTAGTCAGCCGGATCCGGGCCGTATCCAGATCAGATGGAGGACCTGCGCCTAGACACGACCACAACGCATGATGTAGTCAGCCGGATCCGGGCCGAATCCAGATCAGATGGAGGACCTGCGCCTAGACACGACCACAACGCATGATGTAGTCAGCCGGATCCGGGACGTATCCAGATCAGATGGAGGACCAGCGCCTAGACACGACCACAACACATGATGTAGTCAGCCGGATCCGGGCCGTATCCAGATCAGATGGTGGACCTGCGCCTAGACACGACCACAACACATGATGTAGTCAGCCGGATCCGGGCCGTATCCAGATCAGATGGAGGACCTGCGCCTAGACACGACCACAACACATGATGTAGTCAGCCGGATCCAGGCCGTATCCAGATCAGATGGAGGACCTGCGCCTAGACACGACCACAACACATGATGTAGTCAGCCGGATCTGGGCCGTATCCAGATCAGATGGTGGACCTGCGCCTAGACACGACCACAACGCATGATGTAGTCAGCCGGATCCGGGCCGTATCCAGATCAGATGGAGGACCTGCACCTAGACACGACCATAACACATGATGTAGTCAGCCGGATCCGGGCCGTATCCAGATCAGATGGAGGACCTGCGCCTAGACACGACCACAACACATGATGTAGTCAGCCGGATCCAGGCCGTATCCACATCAGATGGTGGACCTGCGCCTAGACACGACCACAACGCATGATGTAGTCAGCCGGATCCGGGCCGTATCCAGATCAGATGGAGGACCTGCGCCTAGACACGACCACAACACATGATGTAGTCAGCCGGATCCGGGCCGTATCCAGATCAGATGGAGGACCTGCGCCTAGACACGACCACAACACATGATGTAGTCAGCCGGATCCAGGCCGTATCCACATCAGATGGTGGACCTGCGCCTAGACACGACCACAACGCATGATGTAGTCAGCCGGATCCGGGCCGTATCCAGATCAGATGGAGGACCTGCACCTAGACACGACCATAACACATGATGTAGTCAGCCGGATCCGGGCCGTATCCAGATCAGATGGAGGACCTGCGCCTAGACACGACCACAACACATGATGTAGTCAGCCGGATCCAGGCCGTATCCACATCAGATGGTGGACCTGCGCCTAGACACGACCACAACGCATGATGTAGTCAGCCGGATCCGGGCCGTATCCAGATCAGATGGAGGACCTGCACCTAGACACGACCATAACACATGATGTAGTCAGCCGGATCCGGGCCGTATCCAGATCAGATGGTGGACCTGCGCCTAGACACGACCACAACGCATCCCTGAAGTGTCAGCAGAGCTTGTGTCCACTAGACTTTCCCCTGTAAGGCCTCATCGACACGACAGCCTTCGCCACTGATCCTCAACAGACTCGTCTCCATAGCGGCGTGACTCCAATCTTTAACCAGAGGGAACTGGATAATATTCTGAATGTTCTGATCCAATCTGACCTCTGACCTGTAATGCTCCTGGATCATGAGCACACACTGTTGGTCCGTTGGCCAGAGGAGAACTGAGTGACTGAGTCTGGTTTCTCACAAGGGTTTTTTCTCCATTCTGTCACTGATGGAGTTTCGGTTCCTTCACTGTCGCCGTTGGCTTTTGGCTGCTTAGTTGTGGACATTTAATATTCAACAATATTATTGATCTCCTGCATTGACACCATTATATGAGAACTGAACTGAGCTGGACGATGACATCACGGTTTTCTCCAGAGCGGCTATATATATATATATATATATATATATATTTAAATGAACTAAATTAATTACTTTTTTTACAACAGAAATCATCACTGAACTTACTTAAGCTAGACTATGACACTATTTTCTTCTAGATCTGCTGTACAGCCGAAACAAACTTTGTTGCATTATTTTCCTGTTATCTCTGTAAAGCTGCTTTGAAACTATCTGTAGTGTAAAAAGCGCTAAATAAATAAAGGTGACTTGACTTGAAGTCAATGGCTGCCATCAGATGTTTGGTCACCAACATTCTTCAAAATATTTTTTTTTTGTTCAACAGAAGAAAGAAACTCACACAGGTTTGTAACAACATGAGGGCGAGTAAATGATGACAAGAGGTTTCGTGTAAGGGTCAACTGTCCCTTTAAGGCAGTTTGGGCGGACGTTGTAAATGAGTCGTTGCCATGGCAACAGTTCAAACAAAGCCGAAACAGTTCATTCCCTGCTGACTGACACGATTTTAGCGCGATATCTCTACATGATTATGATTATATGAGGTGCTTGAGCTTAATTAATATTGCATTCGGCTGTTCACATTGATCTTCTCTCGCTTTGATCGCGCACGCTGTTCATTTGGCCGAATGTCTGCCTCGGATTTTCTACGGGAAGCGGAAAGTCTCAGAAGATTGTGAGTAAATTAATTTTTATTCTGTTTAACAGAGAGACTCTCGTGTCTTTATTGTTCATTACTCTCTTCATACACACAGGCTGAGTAAAGAGGAGCGCGAGGCGATCAGACGACAGGATCTCAGAGAGACTTTCAGCGAGTTTCACGAGCTCAACGATCAGCTGCATCTGCGCCTGCGCACCGACAGTAAACACACACACACACACACACACACACGTGACCTGCTGCTTCCCGCCTCACTGACGGGTTTATGTACAGTCAGGCCATTTCTGCCACAATAAACAAATACATACTTTTGCAAAGGACATGTAGTACTAAGTCATTATGAAATGAAAAGTTGATATTATGACATGTTTAGGATAATAATGACCTAATAAGTCGAAATTATGACATACTAAGCATAATTATGAGATTTAATGTCCCAGACAGCAACATAGTGTTGGCCCAAATCCGGCCCACATCTGGGCCGAGTGGAGTCCATAGGCTTGTTCGACTTCATGCAGCGCTGTGCAGACCGATCGCCGGCTGACCCGAAGCAGTGCATGCTGGGTACAGCGCCGACGCCCCGTGACTGCGACGTATAAAGTCCTCAAAAGCGATTCGAGAGCAGCCGGAAAACTCTATGAAGGTATTTTTGGTGCAAATCAACTGAACGCCTGTGACAGTGAGTGTGTGGTTGTACAGAATATCCACACATGTGTATCAGTAAATTTGAAGTCACAGAGAGAAATGTTTTAAGAGTTGCAAACTTGTAGATTTTTTTTCCTCTTCCACAAACACAACACAACAGTTACACCTTCTCTAATTCTGCATTGCAGGCGCACAAATCCTATTCTACAAATCACACATTAAGAAACTCGTACGCTCACATTTTTGCTACAGTTGCTGCGGTGAATATGGTGCCAAACACATTCACACACCCGCATCAAAACATGTGAAGTCACGGAGAAGTTTTGCTCATCCGCAAATCAGTATGTGAATTCATCCAATGAGAGTTGCACACTTGTAGAATATTTTCTCACAAATGTCTTGTATATTTTTCTAGCACAAACACGAGTACACAACTACAGCTGCTTGAATCTGCTGCGACGAATCTCAAACACTGTTTTTCACTTTCAAGTGACAAGTTTGGCGCGCTCTCCCTTTTGCACCATCATTGATCGATGTGAAATGTGGGGCAGAAGTGAGCTGTAGAGGCAGTGGGCGGAGCCGACATTAATATTCATGAGTTCCTCGGGTATGGGCGTGTCGAACTGCTCATTTGAGTTCGCTCCTCGTTTCTCAGCACGATGGATTATTAATGGATTAAATTGATGGATTATTTAAAAAAAGGTAAATATAGTTTCAGCGCAAACTTAAACTACAAATGTGTGTCGTTTCGTAAAGTTCATAATGTTTTTATTAATTTGCACGTTTTGTGCATTCGTTAATGACTGAATGATTGCAGGCATTCACTTCGTGTAGCCTATATAAAGCACAGCAAACTTCAACTCGTCGTATAAATTGCACATTACGAAGCTTTAAAACTGTGTCTTTTACTAATTCTTATCATTTGTTGATTGCAATAAATTAAATAAACCCTCATAAATGTATCTGTGGGCTAAAACTTTTTTTTACAAATATATCCTGGTGGGATTGTTCTTCAATTCTTGTTCATTTAAATAAGCCAAATCATTTAAGACCACACAAGCAAGAATGTGTTGCTTTAATACATAAGTACAATTTGGATTAAACAAAATTGTATGACAAAAGTGGATAAATTACATTTGGTAGAACTAGGTTACTGTAAATGGGACCAAAACCAACAGGTGTGTGAATGTGTTTGGCACCATATTCACTGCAGCAACTCTACAAGTTTGCAACTCTTAAAACATTTCTCTCTGTGACTTCAAATTTACTGATACACATGTGTGGATATTCTCTACAACCACACACTCACTGTCACAGGCGTTCAGTTGATTAGCACCAAAAATACCTTCATAGAGTTCGCCAGCGCAGCTTCTCCAGAGCGGCTCACGAGCTCTGATGACGACACAGCTGCTCCCTGATTGGCCGGATTCACGAGCTCTGATGACGACACAGCTGCTCCCCGATTGGCTGGATTCACGCGCTCTGATGACGACACAGCTGCTCCCCGATTGGCCGGATTCACGAGCTCTGATGACGACACAGCTGCTCCCTGATTGGCCGGATTCACGAGCTCTGATGACGACACAGCTGCTCCACGATTGGCCGGATTCACGCGCTCTGATGACGACACAGCTGCTCCCCGATTGGCCGGATTCACGAGCTCTGATGA